AAACCTTCCACATGTTCACGCCAAGACTAGAAACTCTATCCGGCTTGAGAGATGCCATGAGATAACCCAAAACGAGTCCCGACTTGAGGTACTGGTAGAACTGCTCAGCCGGAGCGGAGGTGATATCCTCAGGGATTTCCTGGGCCGCTTTTATCAGATCATCTGGAACGCCAGAGGGAGGAGTGAGGAGACGGATCCATTTCAAGACCTTCCCTGCCTCTTCCGCGTTGTACTTTTCATTAATGCGATTCTGCACCTCGCGCGATAGACCCGATTTCGTTGCTCGGTACTCCATCGATACGGCTCTGAGGGTCTCAGGTTACACCCAGATGCTTTTGTATTCGTGACGCCATTTTGTCATTGGCTCGTAAGACGCATACTCCATACCACTGTCAGCAAATGTAATTGGGCAACTCGAGTGTGAAAGGCAGCACGCCTGCCTTCCTGCCTACTACGGTTACTGTGTATCATTCTCTGTAAAGTGCGGAGAAGTTGGAGCCAGTGCTGCATTTAAGTAACTCCTTTTTCACTCGAAATGTCAACAGATAACTTTGTTACTCTTCCCTGGGTTGGATGTCATTTTCGCCCAGATAAGTTATTTAATCGGATTTTTCCAATATCTCACTGAGGTATCAAACTAACCCAGTAAATTACACGAGACTAAGTAAGCAAAGCTTAATTAATATTTTTTTCTCCACGCAACTGTGTAAAGTAGTAAAAAGAAGCGTTATCAACTTGGAGGGGATCATCATCCGTCCGTGTTTATAACCCCCTGCCAGGGTAAACGACCCAATCAAATTCCACATGCTGGTGGGTCGATAATCCGCGCGCTGGTGAGTCATCGAACCAAGTGGGCGAATCACAAACGAGCAAACGCTCATTCACCCCCCGGATGAGTTGCGATCCAGCACTTTGACTGCACGGACTACCGTTAGACTATTTTAAGGACGCAATTCCTGTGAGCAAAGAGTATGGAAAAGGAAGACGAGTGCATTGCCAAACTCTTTTACCCCATTTGTCAAAATGGTGCAACCACTTTGATTTCCCCGGTGGGTGGATCAATGAACCAACGCAATACTGAGGCATGGTGCTAGGTTTGCAAATCTCACGACGATAAATGTGCGATAAATTGCGTGAAGCACTTGCTCCTCGTTTGGCTGCAGGAAGTGATCACTAAGGCGCTTTTTGGAAAAAAAATTGTGCCATCACTTCCATCGGTTTTTATCAGACATAATGAATAAGTTCTTTTATGAATTATTGCAGAGTAGAATCTTTGGGCGGCGAAGCGCTACTGGTCATGAGTACCAGTGAAGAAAGGTAATCTTTGTAAAGAACTTTACCTTTACTTGAGAACAGAACTTATCCAGTGAATTTGGTGTCTTTCCATTGTGAATGTAGATGCAAAATGTTGCCAAGTACTGGTTAATTACTATTTTAAAGATAAATTGACCTGCTAGAACGGGGTTGAGCGGGATGACACAGTGGTGGCGGTTAGCCTCACACAATTCCGCGCGCACACCCAATGCACACGCATACACGTTTGCACGGCCAAACAAAGCGCTCTTCAATTGGTTCTCAGGGCAAAAGGCGGCAGACGATTGGTCAAGATGTGAGCGAATCAGGCGTAGAAGCTCAGTGAAATGAGACGTACACGGTCGTTCCATCACTTTCACAATCTCTAGGCATGGATTCTGGTTATCGCGCAGCCAAGGCGGGCTTCGCCCGCGAGGTGCAGATGCGGATCATGGAGAAGTATGACGCGGAGGAGGCGGCAAAGGTGCTCAAGTGGGTGCGTCTGCTCAAACCTTGTGCGAACATCTCACAAGACCTGTGTAATGCAGCCCAGAAAATTCCCGAAAATATTGCCATTGTGAAACCTGAGGATTTTCATAATTACCTGAAGGATGGTCTCGTTCTGGGTTACCTCATAGGATGCCTCAAACCGGATGAGGCTTCACAGCGTCTGGGAAAGAATATGTGGAAGATCT